AACGTGCACTCACTCGGCTGCAACTTTGCCATGCTGCTGCTGCTTCTGCGAATTTCGCTAAACAATTGATTGTGTCTGGTTTTTCGATAATGCAGGCCTAAGTATAAGAACCTGCTGCTGCTTCGGCTGCTGCCATTGCTGCCCTCGGGGTAATTGGTTCATTTGGCTATCATTGTGAAAGCTCGCAGAGAGAGAGAGACTTTGCATACATATCGAATGCATCCTATCGCCCACGCTCGATCGAAACAAGTAAGTTACGACGAGCGCACGCCCCCGCAGCAGCAGCAGCCCCAGCAACGGCACAGATATTTATTCAAATTCAGGTAGCCCTTGTCCTCTTTTTTTTTCTTTCTCTTTCTCTCTGTCCTGCACCGAGACAGAAGAGAGAAACTTATCGGCGGAATAATTACGGATGAGTTTCGAAGCCAAGGGTGCTCAAACGCGGGGCGAGAGATTTACGTAAATTCGATACACGGACGCGGAGATCGTCCGGCGCGGCCTTGCGGTTGAAAATTGAGTCAACTGCCGAGTGCGCAGTTTATACACTACTTTTTTCGAGCTGCATGCAAACACCATCGCACCGCACATGCCGACTCGCACCTTTCGATAATGCAACGTTTATTTTATGTATTCCTTCGTTTTCGTTCGGCTCGCTGTGGCAAATTATACGAAGCACCAGATGTACAACACACAACGCGCCTGCCTCGTGTATAATGTGCTTTTTTGCGTTGAAAGCTCAATTTGTATAAAAGAGATGAAAGATCTCGGACGTATTATTCAAGAACAATTTAGCGATCACGTGCGGCTATTGGCGGGGCAAATTGCAGTTTCTATAACGAGTGAATAGAGCTGCGAGAGGAAAAAATAAGAACGCGTTCGGCTCCGTATACGCGTAAATAGCGCATGCATATAATATCGGTTCAAGTACCGCAGAGCGTTTCCCTTCTCGATAAAGATTTCTGCCGTTTGCGAGCGCCCAGCAACATATTGCATATTGACCGAAGAGTTCCAAGTACGCGCGCACGCAGCCGGACAAAATAAAAAAGTGTTCTCTCTATACGCAGATGTAGCTATAGAAAAAAATGCATCACCGCCGCCACCATACACGCCTGCAATCCCAGTGTGCAGTGCAGGAAAAAAGGAGCCTAGCAACTGTTCCCTTTTTTTTTGTAGCACTGCACTTAACGCTTTTTCTGCCCTATACGACTATTACTACGCTATGCACGGCGCGCGGTGCATGCGAAGAGGTAAGAAGAGAAAAAAACAGGAACGAAAGGGAAGGAAGCAAGCAAGCAAGCAAGAAGGCGCGCAACAAAAAAAAGGACATTGTTACAATGGACTAGGTGCATCCTATAAACGCGCTCGGATGCAGTAGGCCAGCTGACGATCACGCGTGCATTTATGCAGCAGAAGTGGTACTAGCATTATGTTTATACATGTTATACAGAGCAGCTCGACGCGCGAGCAGCACTGGTTCAACAGCTGTCAATGATCGAGCTGCTGAGCGAAGCCAGACTCGTTGTATGCCGCTGCTGCACACCTCCGATAATGCGTCAGCATTATTTCTAATTTCGTGCACAGCTTGCGCGAGTAATTATACAATCTGTATTACAGGCTGCATATAGGCTCTCTATAGCTCTGCAACTTCCCGTCTGTCTCTCGAATTCACGATTGCTGGCTCTTGCCGAATTGGAAATGGAAGTTTGGAGTGCAATATAATACACGCACGCAGGCGCATCGGGCTAATGTCTCAGTTATATATCCTACACCATTAGAACCAGTGTGCGAGGTATAATTGCCAATTTCTGACGTTCGGCTCGTTCGTTGAGCGCCCCGTTCCGATGAGCTTCGATTTATCCGATGCTAACGAAGAGAACGATATCGGCGCGGTGTACACGATGCACAAATACAACTGCTGCATAGAGCGGCCGTCCGACATATGTACATCCGACTGTCCAAAACTTCGGAGATAACTTTAGGAATTGATATTGCGTACGTGCGCTGGAACTTTTTCCAAGAACGATTCGATGCCGAGTACGATCATCGTGTGCAGCTGCATAGCGTAACTCAATCTGGCGCATGTACGCGGATAGAACGCAACACACAATCGAGTTAATGAAAAATAGCAGATCTCGTCCGCGGAAAATGTAGGACGTGTCGGGAATTTATTGCCGATCTCCGCGGTGGCGGCGGGCTAGCTATATACGAGTCAACGGCTTACGTAAACCCCCGGCTTTTATTCAAAGCTCGCGATCGCGTCGATCGCTGCGCGGCACTGCGAAATATCTTCTCTCTCTCTCTCTCTCTCTCTCTCTCTCGATGCACGAATGATATATAAAAACGATTGTCATTATATATCGTCGATATATAGCATAAAGGCAATTAAAATAAGCGACGCGTGGCTGCCTTGCTGGATGGTACAGGTATATAATGCGAAACAATAGCCCGCGCGCACATGCACGGCATGCATGCATGCATGCAGCGCGCGGAGATCACGACGGAAAAGGCGATCGGCGGCGGCAATTGTCTCTGCGCCGTTCGCTAGTTTATATATTGTACATATAGGCACGCGCATACATTAAAGGCGCGCGCGCGCGCGCAATCAAGCAGCATGCATCTTACGGCCGTACAGTGGAATCTAATTATTGCGAGCGAGCCGAGCCGAGCGCACAAAGCGCGACACAAGTGGGAAGACGTGATCATAAAAATCAATAGCTCCATGAGAGAGAGAGCGAGAGGCAATATATATACAATGCAAAGAGAACAAAGAGACGACACTTATTAAACGTATACGAAGGAAATATTTCGCCGCTGAGCGTTCGATCGCTGTTTCTGCGCGCGTTGCGAATTAAATTAGGCACGCGCGCGCGCTATACCTCGGCCAAGTATACGCAATTATGTCATCAACGTAGCTGTTAGTAGGCTGTGCAAAAGCAGCGGCGGCAGTAGCAGCCATACATTATTAATACATCGATTCCGCGAGGCAATATACGATAAAAAAAAAAGAAGAAGAAAGAAAAGGCGAAAAATTGTAATGGCGCGTAAGCACGTGCTTAATATAAATGTATAACGTGGTGTATACGCAACTGCGCGCGGCGCGAGATCGAGTTCATTAATATGCGCGCTGTACGTGGGTGCTTTTTATAATACTTTTAGCGGCAGTAGCAGCAACAACCCGCGCAATTAAGCCTCTATGGCTTGCTTGCTTGCAGTGATTCGCGAGCAAAGAAATTTTCTGCCAGCCAATACTAGGATCTTTGGGCAAACACGCACACACGTGTTGTAAGCTTTATTGCTAGCCGCTTGTACACTTATAATGTTGTAGAATGCGTCGTGCATTGCACAAGTGTGTAAATACGCTATAATGCGCAGCCCGCGCTCGCGCACGTAATAATATCCAATGGCTCGGCGAGCGAGCCGCCATCGCCGTCGCCACATTCCTGGCGGCTTTTATATATACAATAATATAATGACGTCGCGCCGATAAATAATCCTGCCTCTACACGTGTATAATAGCTGCATTTCCAATTTAACCCGTGGAGTGGATATACACGCGCGCATTATTGTACGACGGCAACGCCACGCGCTAATATATGCACAACATGAATGTATAAATGTACGAGACTATTAGCGTCCAAGTTTTACTCGATTCGCTCGACAGCGAGAGAAGAGAAAAAAACAATTTAATCGCGCAAAATATACAAAGTAACTCTGTATACCGTACAGAGGAAATGACGATCTCTGATGGTTGCGAATTTTGCTGTAAGTGCACGCTCGTATCTTTACATATCGCCTATCTTGAGTCAATTTTTTTTTCTTTTTTTTTCGTGAGCTTTTGCGCACATCACTATCCGCAAAGACTGCAACAACCTAACTCAATAAAAAAATTAACCCTTATCAGTTCTTTACCTTTTTACATCATTGAGGGCTGTATGTACGAAATTCAAGCTTCATATGTATAATAGTTACCTAAGTTTCTGGCGAGAGTTAGATTATAGGCTGCATATAGGTAGTTTCAGAGCAGCCCAACAATATATATTTATGGTGAAAAAAGTAGCTCCGGAGCGACTACTCCGCGGCTACTGCACAGACTCGACGTGAAACGTCTCTAGCTCGCGTCTTAACAATAGGTACTGCTACATACGTAGCTCGCGATTTCGACTTTTATCGGCTCAACGCTCATTATATTATTATATACAGCTGCACTACTGCTTCTACTGCTGTTTCAGCGCAGCAAATTTACGGCGCAGTTTTAGTTCGCGAGCGACCGATTGTGATCGTTATGACGTTTAAGGCTGCAGTTTTCCGCGCGAGCGATGTATCGCATGTGCTGCAGGCACATATTACACGTACATCTGTGCGCGCTACATAGCTGCCAGTTCAGCAGCGGCATTGACTCTCGAGAAGTTTGAGATAAATGAACGGCAAATCAATGGCCTATCGTTCAAACTACACCGTACTCGCATAATATCGGCTGCGTTGCACCACTATAACGTTTATTAGAAATATTTAATTGCGTCAACGCGCAAAGTACGATTTCGCCTTATGTGCGCAGCTTAACGATGTCTTTCTTGTAGAAATCCGCGAGTTTATTGTTATAAATATGATAGATTGCATCGAGGCGTTTCTTCATTTCAGTTGATTGTGCATCACATAGTTGATGATACGAGCGTTGAAACAATTTCCAGATCAGAACAGAAGACAGATAAATAACAATTAAAACGAAAAGCAATAACGATTAGATAGGATGTCCTTAGAACCGATTTCTGTGTTCTTTAATTCGCACCACTGCTGTTTATATGGTCGTGCATTCAATTGCTCCCCAGGTACTTCTTGACTGCAGCTTTTACTTTTGAGATTATCGCTGCCGAGCATATAAATCGAGCCATATGCTTAATCCTCATAGCAATTCGCAATATTATGATAATTATATGATCATCCAAATAAACGTAAATGCAACAATGAAAGCTAAAAATACATTTTTTATATATGTCACTTACCAAGGCGAGTTGGCGGCTTCCTCGAAACTAGCCAAAGTGCGTTCTTGCTGCAGAATGGAGAAGAGATCGTGCAACTCGGTAAGTTGCTCGTCTCTAGCAGCACTGACTGTCGCTAAAATCTGAAATGATTTAATTTTTTTTAGTAATGTGTAACTTGCGGATTATGTACAAACTTTTTAAAAAAATATTAAATTCTTCAATTAACTGAGACATATGCACAGCTATCGTGTATGTACGTTAAAAATAATTCCTGGATCATAATAATTAACCAGAGTCTCCTGACTCAAAAACCACATTAGACATAGCTCGCTTGAAAAGACGAAGTGACTGTCAAGTAAAATCCTCATCGACTGCATGCACTGAATCTGGTAAACATTCGAACGCGCCGAGAAACTCGAAGGAACTGTATACTAAATACCGAGATGCGACGCTGCACGGTCGATCATCCTCTATGCACCAAGATAGGCGTTTCACGATCGTTGTCTCGGCTAGCCCCGCGGCTAGTTTCTCTCGCGCGCGCGCGCGACCATAATAGCTGCAGTACTCCTGGCGCGCGCGAGAGAGAGACGGTATAAAGATTAGGCGAGCCGCGAGAATTGCGACAGCTCTTCTAGCCGCTGCTGCTGTTGGCTTTTTATTGACACTGCAGCTAGCTGCAATGGCTAACACGCACACACACACAAACCGGAATATATATAATATATAACGTCGAGAGCGCATACCTGTCACACTTTTCATTGCTTTTGCCGCGCATGTCCTGCTATTCAATCTCCTATTCAGTAGCTGACCTACGCGTCTCTCTGTGCTGCTATTTGTTGATTTTTTGTCGCTCTCGCTCTTTCTTATTCTTTCGTTCGACGTGTCACGTCGCGCGCGAATGTTTATTGAAGCTCGCGACGCTCCTTTTTCAAGCTAATAGAAGATTTACAAACAGATTCTGCGGGCGCGTATTCTTCTTACGTGTCTTATGTGTGTGTGTGTGTGCAGCTCTCGGCTTCTGTAGAAGCCACATGCATACGTGTATCTACGAGCATTCATCGAGGCCCGTCTCTATCTCTCGGGAGGCTTTCAGCGGCACAGTCTATTTGACCAACGCGCGTATATACATTATACTGTAGCGCGTCAGGCAAGGCATTTTAGAATGCACTCGATAATATAATTATGCTAATGGAAGTGTCGTTTCTCTGGAGCCGCGCGCCAAGCGCCTCGCCTGTTGCTGCGGCTGCTGCTGCTGCTGCTACTGACGCTACTGCGAGACACGCGCAGTATTCGCAATAATCATTGAAATTAACCCATCGATCTTCCCGAGGGGATTATACGAGCCCGTATTATACAGAGTAGCCACGTTTTGCGGTATAAATAGTATAAGCACACGCGCGTCTTTTATGGTGTATCGCCAGGCTACTTGCGCGTTTTCTCGGACACGTCGGGGGAGCGAAGAGAGGAGAGAAAGAGCTTCAGCTTTTATCCTCGATCAAGCTAATGCCCGATCGGTCGAGTGTCCTTCTTTTTTTTTTGCGTAACCGCGGCTACAAAGTTTTTTTCCATATTCTAAGTGGCTCGGTCCATACCCGCGTTTGGATACAATTATGTCGCAAGCTCCTAGAGTGCAACAAAAAATATATGTTGAAAAAGTTGAGCGAAATTAACGATTGAAGAATAAAACTGAAGTTTTCTTTCAAAGCTCCGCGGAGGTTGACACAGTGATTAATCAAATTACAAAATATTCTAATTTATAAGTAGGCGAAAAATTATGGAAAATTTCGTTAGATAATGATTTTTTTACACAAACCCAATGAAAAAAAAAACAGATTCGTGCTGCACAATCAGACGCCGGCGCGCTCAGAGAAGCTCGAGAGCTCGAAGTGCGCGCAGAAAGATCTGCGAACGAAGGACGTGGAAAGGCGCGGCGACGCGAAGGAATCACATATATTATATACCCACATACACACACACGTACCGACATAATATACATGTATAAACGCGTTGCAGAAGGACAAATTGCGATGCAGTGCATGAGCCGAGGATTTCTCTGAATATTTGGCGTGATTTTGACGTATTGTTAGTCCCCGCGCACGAGGAGGATCGTCTCAACATATTTATCCTTACTGCCTTCTTCTTCTTCTTTTTTTTCTCTCCTCCTTCGACTTTCCCCCCTCGTACGCGCCTGCTTTCGTCGTTCGCTCGCTCGACGGATTATATGCTGTGTATATTTTTGTGCGCTGCGAAGCTGCATTTCGTCCAGAGGCGAGCGAGTCTCGTTTATGTATGTATCGTATTCGTATGTGTGTATGTACAGCGACGGTTGTGCGGTGCAGCAATGCACGCGGTGCTTATTTCGCATGCAGTGGACGGCGACGTTTTGTATTCCACGACGTTTTTACGGCTCGAGTCGCATATAAGTCGCGGAAGTTCTCGCCATGCAGCAGCGGCTCGTCTCTCGGCACGGACTCGCGGCGGTCCACATATATATACGCACACTCACACACACACACACACACACACACACACACACACACACAAAAGCGTACATTATACGGAGTACAGGTACGCGGCTTCTGGAACGCTTCTTACTGCGATCGAATAGGCGCAAGTAAATGCATTGGTGTATGTGAGTGTGTGTGTGTGTGTGTGAGTGTAAACGTTGAGGAGGATCCACATATATATAAATAAAAGCCGTTCACGAGTAGCATCGACAATCGATCTCGCGTCTCGAGCCGTAAGTGCAGCAGTCGTTATCCAGCTTCGAACTGTATATGTAGCGATATATGTTTGTACGTCGTGTCCCCGCGTGGCCATTCGCCAAGTCCATTTCGCTCGATAGGCAATTCTGTATATCTGCATCGCTGCACGGTGAACGGCTAATACATCGAGATTCAGAGAACGAGAGATAGAGAGAACTGATGATTCCCATCTACCGAGCTCGCTGAGACACTATTATTATTGACGTCTTCGGTCCACGACTTTTAAAGTTAAATTCCCCGCGATCTTTTTATTATAGCAAATATATTTATAACGATTGTGAGAAGTCGCTTACTAAAAGGCTCACGAGATGACATTTATGTATCTGATCTTAGAGCGCATACGTGTACGTACGACGAATATTATATATTGTCCACTTTAACGTCGTCGCGAGTTGCGTTACGACACACGGCGTGCCCACAGCCCCGGAGAAACTGCGATCGTGGACGAACTGAGAGAAAGAAAAGAAGTAACATCTTATATTAATATTTTCGAGTATCTGTGATTGTGTTCGAATGCATGGTATGTACAGAGTTTAAAATCCTCGCGAAAAACTCAGAGTTTCACTCAGTGTGGGAACTCTAAATCCGTTTTTGGAGCTGTCACGCTATCATTCGAAGATTCTTCTTATTTGTTTGGAGAATGAAGGCTAAAGCTTCCGACGTCGTTGACATTTTTAGCTTTTTTGTATAATCACTGACGTTATTTAATTTTACATACTTTTCATGTCAATCGAGCAAAAAAATTTTTTTATAAAAAGTGAAGCAACTAGTTCAAACGTCTATTCGAGTTTCAATTTTCCTGCAGTTCCATTTAGAGCTCCTCATCGATTCATATTACATATCGGGTCAGCATTCTGCAACCAAGGTTGCCACTAGTACAGCGAGCCACACATATTATATGCTGTGTATACAAGACCGTGCTAGCATACACAGACGGACAGAAAAAATGCATCTCGCGACACTGACACATACATCTTCTCTTTCTCTCTCTTTCGAGCGCGCGCGGCAACGTTATTACAAGCCTTTTACCCGCAGGACAAAGAGTGCAGTCGCAAGCGCGCGCGTACATATATGATACGAGCGCCGAATCTTTTCACGTGGACGCGTCGTTGTTGCTGCGCTGCAGGCGTTGCAGCAGCATCATCAGCTTGCGTACGCTCGCTGATATTGAAAGAAGGAAAAAATGTCGACGCGAACTTCGTCGTGGCAGAGCCAGGCATTTTGCAGGTACACATTCTATATACAAGTGCGTTATATTACACATATGTTCTTTGAGAGAGAGAAAGAGAGCTTGGCACGCGCGTGTACGTCCGTGTGCCAAATGCATTGCAAAACAAGAATGCTACATGCGCAGCTACTTTCTCTCGATTCGTTTACGCACTTTCTTGGCTGCACGAGCATGATTTACACATTTCTCATGCTGCTCAGTGACAAACGCGTAATATATCTGACCATCGGCAAAAAAAAAAGAAGCGAATCGGTCTGTACGTGCACAGCAACTCTGGTTTCGATAGATGAAGGTATTGTGATCTCTGGCTGTGCCCGTCGAGCTTCGGGTTAAACAATATACAGAGTCACCTTTGCATTTACATAATTGAAACTAATCGATTGTGTCTTTTCAATAGAAGAACGAAAATAATAAATAACCAACTTAATATCTTAAAAAACTGATTTAGCTACAAATAATGGAAGACGCGAGAAATTTTCAAATCTGTCCCTTCGGTCCCTCGCATACACACGATCGACCAATTCTCGATCCACCAAAAAACCGGTTCTAACGGTTTTCCAATGTAGCAGCAGCAGCGATCTCAAACATCTTCGTGGTGCTGCTGCTGCTCAAGGATACATATATCGTTGTTCAAGCCGTGAAGCATATACACGATATTGCTGTATCTGCTTTAGTTTCCCTTTCTCTTCGATCGTCCGTACGTGTGTTGCTTGTTGGTTCTCTTCTCTGTGTGCGTGTGTATTTCTTTTCTTCTGTTCTTTATTTTTCGTTCGGTTCCCCCCCGCTCTGCGGCGCAGGTGCATGTACATACACAATATGATGCTAATTTTTGCCAATGCCTCTCGGGATGTAGTATATCTCTATACCAGATCCACGAAACGTACAAATTATCCCGTGAGCTGCACGCGGGGCCCTTTTTCGGTGCTGCAGCGCGCTGTCAATGTAACGACGTCTTTGACAAAATTCATCAACGAGCGTGTAAAGCTCATTTAAGTGCTCGGTAATTACGTTTGGAAACTAGATTCTCTCTCGCCATATTGTAACCTATGATCTTACCCCGACGTACTTCGTCGGTTACGTGTGTCCCTTAGCTCTGTGGATCCGTTCTGCACGTCCAAGGTCTACCTGTAATTCATGCAATACGGGA